CTGCCAGTAGGGCTCAATTGGAGGACTCCAGGCTCTCAGACAGTCGTGGCAGAGGCTGCTTGACTCATATCCGTCCACCTCTATTATTGATTTTTAAACCAGCAGAGGTATATCGCCATACCACTGAAGTCAATGGAAATGTTATTGTGACAGTCCTCTGGTCGAAACATGACCTTTAAAAGACATCAGAATGCGAGACTAGAGCAACGGAGCATTGAGAGAACATGCATAAAGAAACGGCTGATAAATTACAATGGCAGGCACCCTAATACAGCCAAGCCAGACTTCATATGGATACCATCTAAAAACGTATCGCTGCAGTTTAAAACCATTTGAACGCTGTAAAGTCTGATGAGTGTTGTGGCAATCCAGATGGGCACGTATGCACATAGAAGCAAACGATTAAAAACGATAAACAACTTGTAAAAACTTTTTACGTGGAGAAAAGCCTAAATGAGCTGAGTTAAACTAAATTGATAATGACAATGCCACAGAGCATTCTTTTTAACAGGGTCATATTTATAACTTCTCGTCACACAACATATACTGTTGTGTCATATAATCATTATTTTAAAAGAAATACAAAATGAAAACGTCCTTTTGGGGAAAATACATTTTCATGCCTAAGATAATTAAGTGAAGTCTATTAAAACCACATATGTTAAAGGGACAATTAACAAATGATGAAAAGGAGGATCAAAGTGAATTTCAACACCTTAAAACTTGACATATTTAACATATGTAATGCGGACATTAGAAGTATCAACAAGGGCAAACCACTGATGGCTGTTAATGCGCTTTATTGTTTATCTCATCATAAACAACTGGATAGAGAGCAGTTTAATATATTGTGAACTTCTGCACACCCCTCTGAAACATCCAAGTGGAATCTGTATCTCTATGAAATTTTAATCTGCCTTGCTTTAAATAAATGCTAACAGTGTATATACAGAGAGGAAGAACAAGGCAGAGTGCTGTCAGGCGGCAAGAATGGGGCTCCTTGGAGAGCCTTGCAAGCAGTACTGTCACTGATATAAATAGTGTAAAGTAGCATCCTCTCGTCTCCAGACCTGCCTCGCATTTATTGATGGAAACTTGGAAGACAGAGCTAATTACAAACCTGTAACACATATTAATTTCCAAAAAAGTATCTCAGTAAACTGCGGAGGTAACCAGTGTTTAAAAGGATTTGTTACATTCTAGCTTTGCCATTTCACAAAAAAGGACAGCAAATGACATTTTAAACCCAGTTTTGTCCGGTGATAAAAAGAAATTTCCCTTACGGTTCTTAATTCATAACCCGAGCTCTAATATCAACAGATGAATTTAATCTTCTCTTTTAAAAAAGAGCTTTCTGCATTGATCATTCTAGTCAATGATACACCCCCTTGAAAACCCATGATCTACAGACACGGCAGGAACCGACCATGTTATGTTACAGCAATCAATGACCTTGTTATTGAATACTTACAATGAAGCTCATTAGTCAAAGAAAAATCAATACGTGTAAGCCACTTTTCATACAGTATATCTGAATATCTCCTCTTCTATGGGAATCATCAGTCAAAATATGCCACTGTCATCTATCCAACTCCTAAAGAGATTAGGACATGTGGTAAAATGCAAATGAATCACAACTAAGCACCAGATGGTTTGAATAAGCACAACTAAATGCACACAAAAAAAAACATCTAAAATCATTTGAATTACTGTTTTCATTTTGTCCATGCACTCTGTGTGGCAAGAATGTGTTTGCAGTCATTAGCATTTGCTCAGATGAGGAAATATCGTCATTAAAAACACAAACCCTGAAATAAAGAAATATCACACCACTGAATATTATTATCAATGAATTAATTATTTCTAACTGTACAGCCATGCAGTTTCACATCTGCAGGGGAGGTGTCCACATGAAAAATTCCTGTACAGATTATCACCCACTTGAGTCAACTAATTGCTTGCAGCTGAATGTTCTAATTGAGCCACAACAGTCCTAAGGCTATTTTCATAAAATCATTGTGCTCATGAATATAATATGCCAGGAAGATATAAAAACAAGTTTGAGTGCCAACAGGATCCATCAAACTCAGCAGAGCCTCAATCCAATTCTCCACACTTTGGAGCCACATGCATTTCGGATGTTTAAAAGTGAACACAGTGTTCCACACGAGTACTAATGTGATTATTTCCCCGGCACTCTCACGTTCAAAAGTACCAACTAAAATGGCAACAAATATTTTAGGCTCTTCAATCTGTAACTGACAAATTCTGCTTAATTTTTTTTCATACGCGGTGTACAGTGGCGTGCTCCATATAAGGAAAAATGTCAGCTGGGTTGGCCACAGCAGGGGTCAGAGCATCGGGCCGAGTTTTGACTTGCTGAGAAGTAAAGGGCTGAGGTCAAGCAACAAATAAACACAGCATTCCAAAAAATGTAAAAGAAAAAAAACCCACCACCAGTTGTGGCAGTGTAGACATTTTTTAACTGCATTTACTTCCTACATATGCCTACTTTTGTACACAAATAGCAAGAGGTAGGCAATTACTAATTAGTCGCATATTACTACTCCTGAGCCTTTTGTCATATTGATGTTGAATAAATATTCAGAAGAGCAGAGCTGTTTTTTTCTTTTATGGCATTCAATGCATAAGAATTTGAATGTATGACTCATTAAAATAATAATTCATCAGTCCGCTCACCTATTTCACTGGAAATACCTTACATCAACATTCATACTAATAAAAGAGTACAATTCCTCTTAGAAATGTATTGTCTTCTTTTTTGGGCATTAATTCTTCCTGCGATGTCAGAGGCACATGCTTGCTATAACTTTCCTGAGAGACACATCTTTTTATAGATTTTTCCCTTCAAAACCTCATACAGTTGCTCAGAGCTGAAACCGACGTGCTAAAAATGTATTTAAAATAAAATTGGAACTATGCATATAGGCACTGATGCCGAGCGTGCATCAGACGTGGAGTAGGTTTTAAAAACATTGTCTGTTTTTCAGCGTTTGTGGCTATGGACTGTGGACTTTTTTTTGCATGAACAAGGCAGGGGACAGTGTAATGCGCAGGTCTAAAAGCAGGAAGCAGGACTACAGCCTTTCAGGACAGACAATGTGAGTCAGCTATCTGACTACATCAAATGGGACTTGACAATAGGCCCCCTGAATACAAGAGCTTTACTCTTTTATTTATTTATTTTCTCTTTTTTTATTTCCCAAGGCGGCTTGCCAGAGTTGCTGACGGTCTCATACCAGCCAATATCTCTCTCTGCGGCAGTCATATGTCATTCCATCCTGTGCACTTTGGCTCCAATGGCATTCCTGTGTGACAACTGGCCCAGTGTATTAAGTCTCACATAGGGGCACAGCGTTTCTAGTGGAACCCTATTTGCACTTGAATGAGCATGCAATAGTCGGTACACCTACATTGGTTTACATCCCACTCCTCTGCAAGTGGTCAGTGATGAATGAGAAGTGTAACTTTCATCAAACAACAATAAACTGAAAGTTTTCTGCAGGAAAGCAAAACTTCGAATATCACATCAAAAGGAAAAACAAATGCACTGGAATCCATAAAAATCACAAATACAAATATTTAAACTGGGCAAAAAGGGAAATAAACTATAAAATTTAAATGTAAAGTTTAAATAAAACTATATACTGCTACTCAATAATATCTTTTGTGTATCTGTCTAAACGAACCCACCTTGAGAGGGTCAGTTATGTTCTTAGTCCCTTGAAGAAACCTTTAATTTTCTACAATTAAAATGTATTTTGTGATATGAAATGACTGAATTCGGAAAACATAGCTAACTGGATTCAGTGACAAAGTAAAAGTCAAAAAGACTATGAGCCTTTGACACTAACAGTTGGCTGAAGTAACTACAAAAATGAAACTATTACTCAAATATGTCAAATATCAATGTCTATTTTCTGAGAATTAGATTTTTATTTCTCAACCAGTGTTAATATTCAAAATTTGCTGTATTAGTAAAACCAAATCAAAATCAGGTGCTTCTGTAAAGTAATCCCTGCCAATGTGTGGAAGAATGAATCTGAAGTAATCTGCCAGACCAGAAACCAAGGATGCTGATAAGAAGGAAATGCTAATAATGGGAAGAAGTGGTGATATTACTCCGTCGATAATACTAAGCTGAAAGAAAATACTCCTCTGCTCTTCGTTTTGCCCTCAACATTTAAATGAGTCAATGTACAGACAGTTATTGATAAGTAGTTATGAAAACATTTATAAGACGTTCATAAACTATCACTCAACATGTACATACACACACAGAATTTGCTATTAAAAAAAACTCAGGCTCCACACTACTACAAAACATAGCCAAGACTCATAGAGTAAATGAGGGATATTTGCAGGGGAATAAAAATGACAAGAGCCAGCCACGCATTAGTCCTGCTACATAAATAAAACCCTTTGTTCTAGAGAGGGAAAGTCAGTCTATTATGTCCATATTTTGAAAAGTGAAATAGATATCTACTCCAAAATTATTGCTGCAGTCTTTTTTCCTTTATAATATAGACACATCTCTCCTCTCAACTCCCAGGCTTTAATGATTTTTTTACTCACTGTTATTTGCTGGAAATTGCAGGTTCACATGCCTCCTTATTTGTGCTAATCTTAATGTCTCTGGGCGAGGGATGTTGACAAGCCTCTGCTGTCTTTTTGTTTCTCATCCTGCAATTTAGTTTTGCTACTTTCAAAGGTGTAAATGCATCAGACAAGTGGCCCTGCTGATTTCTTTGGTGGGGGGATTTTGCTCTAAAAACAAGCGATGCGGAGAAAGTTTATTTTCTTGTTTCAAAGCAGGAAAAACATATGTGGATGGAGGAAAAAAGACAAAATTAAATGGTGGGCAGTGGTCCAGAACCAGGCAGCAATCACCGTGCCCTGTCAATGACTGTTTAAGGCCCCAGAAACCTCAGAAAATATTTCACTCTGAAATGATCTTTTTGACACTGCACAGGCTTTACCTTTGGGACATGATCTTGTAGGCGTCCGGAAGATAGCAGTTGGTGTTTTCCATCTGGAAAGGATCGGCGTCGCAGATCTTGTCATCCGTTCGGCCGTAGTTGGCACTTTCAATCATGATGACATCACTTCCTGGGCACCGCAGATCAATGGGGTAACCCTCGCAAGACAGTTCTCTGCGTACTAAGCCGAACGGCAGGGCGGCTCGACTAAATCCTGAGGGAGAGAGGGAGAGCAGAAAGAGCTCCATCAGTACAAATTGAAGGAAAATGTGTCGCTTCGATGGCACAGACAAAGTTGCAATGAAAAGGCAGAGGGCACAAGACATCAGAGCCTGATATACACCAAGGAAGTCTCTCCATGCATGCTCTTTCTTGTTTTATTCAAAAGGGCTGTAACTGCTCAGTGACATAAATCATGAATCAATATAAAGAGTAAAAACTGTGCTAGGACTACTGCCCTGACATAGATCGCATACTAAGTGAACATTTCAGATCCCAGCCACACCAGGGAGTAAATGGTGTTACTATGTCATCCTTGTGTTTTAAACGGTCCGGGAAAAAAAAAATCAATAATTGTCATTAAAGTCTGGTTTATTGGCCAGAGTGTCTGCAGACACGTACCACCACACAGTGAGACACCGACATTTGTTGATTCTCCTTGGTCTTTGTCTCACTGCTGGCTTTTGGTTGATTTTGGTATATTATTCGCTGCCATTGCATCTTTCTTCACGACAAAGAATTGTGGATGTTTGCAAAAATAATTTTTCTGTGTGAAATGAAAAAGAACAACGGGCACAGCGGCATGAGTGTGATTTAATCCACTTAACAGAGCTGACAGTCTAAGGTATTACTTTTAGGAGGCCAGAAAAAGCCATTGTGAGTGTGCATATGGCTATGGGTGTTTCTGTGAGGGCGGGTGAGGGGAACAGGAAAAATTGAAAAGAAATCAATATTGTAGCTCTGCAAATATGAACTACACCAAAAATAATGTTTCAACTAAAAGTCAACTGGACGGATAAACTGTACAAATCCAAATATGTTCTTGGCATGAGCAGATTTCTGCAGCTTTGTAATTTCAAATATGAAAGCTTAAAAAAAGATTGCCAGCTGCTCTTACGTTGGCTTTTTTGTCTAATAACTTCCATTTCCCTGCTTCCAGTGGTGACTTTGCCGCCTCTTTGCTACCTACAACTTTGTTGATGGCTGTGTTGTTTCCAAAGGCTTTGTCTCCCTAATGAGGCTTAGTTCACAGTCACAGGAGAAAATAAAGAACACCCTTACTACTTCTCATGCACTAATTTGTTTGGCTCCCGGACAAGCTGGAGTGATCCATATGTGCAGTTGTTTATAATCACAAAGGACTTTTTTTTTTTCCTTCTCTCTTTTCATGAGTCATTCTTTGAGATGCTCTTTGTGTGGCAGCAGTTTACTTACAGCCACTGACTAAATTGGCCAAGAAAGGCTGAGTTCATTTTACCCTATTGAATGCTTCATCAGTTAACTACCAATACAATTATCTTTGTCTGATTAAATGCTAAACTACAATGGCAGGGGATTAGTATTCTGTATTGTGCTCCTTGCCAGGAAATGCTGCTGTGGTATTTTACAAAGGAAGATAAATGTCAGTTTGTATTGCCTGATGCTTCGTTTGTGCACCAATCAAGTGAAGCTCCAACTTCTAAGGTGCACGGTGAAGAGTTTGGGGTAAACAAAGGATATATCTGTATGGTGATGGGCAGCTCCTCTGGTCGATCAAACCTCTATTGTCTGGGAGAATATGATCATAAAGGAAGAAGCTTTTTCTTGTTCTTGGGCTTTTTTGACAGCAAACTTTCTCATGTGACCAGTAGACATGAAAAGGAAAAGGCCCTCTAAATATGATAGGTTTCGGCTGCATTTCATTTCTGCTGCCCTTTCCTCTCTGGAGTAAAAAACAAAAACGCTTAAGGTAATAAACAATTTATCAGAGATACTGGCTGGAGGAAAAAAAACAACCGTACGGTGAAAAACACTATGTTAGGAAGAGGACTTGACACTCAATCTTAAGTTTCTGTCAATGCTCTCTAGCTGCACTTCGTCAACAGACTACATCAGCACCATGTTGTAAGTATACTAAAACTATGTAAAACATCACTCAATGCCACAAAACAATTTTTTTCTCAGACCATGACATGAAACTGGCATATGAGTAATGGGGGCTCCTCTATTGCTTTTCTCTCACCACTTCTCTTATTACAAGAAAGAGAAGACGGCCCATAGAATGACTGCATACACAATGAGGAAATGAAAACTTTGATAGTCTGTGCCATTAAATAATAAAAAGTAGACGAAAGAGAATGACATAAGCTTCATGAATCGACTATATATTAATGAAGCTATTTTTTTTAACATTTTCGGTATATTAGACAGAAAAACTGCTTCTGCTAAATGACTAAAAATGAAATCATCTACCTTGTGTGCCTCACCAGGAAAGTCATAACTCCGAAATGGGTCAACTGGGCAGCAGTTATGTATCACTGGGTGTTTGTGGCTGGAAGTGATCTGTCTTTTGGCCATGAGTAAGACCTCTGAGCTTGATCTGCAAATCCACAGCCAAACCCACTGGTGCTCTGGGTCTCGGGAACACTGGTAAAACACTTAAATCACTCAGCAGAACCCTCACGATCTCTGCTTTTGGTTTTCTAATTCAGAGCTAATACGACATCCCTCTACCTAAAGAGGAAAACAGAGGCTGGAGAAATGAGGAGATAAATGCATGCTCAACAAAACTCTGAGACTCTTGCTGAAATGCACCGGCTGCATCTCAACCGTGTTGATGACAGACTCTCTGTCGCGGTGTGTTTTCCCGTTAAAATATCTGGATCTAGAAACCGTATTGTTGTAATCCAAGTGCACTTCATTAGTTGGCTGAGTTTATGCATCATGGACCAAAAGCATGGTTGTAAACAAGCTGCAAAAGCCTCTCTCCATCGATTAGACCTGAGGCTGAACCACTTTCTCACCCCGGTGTCAGATGGTATTTTATACTTCATGGACAGATGGCTGACACAAACAAATCAGTGAGCACTCTTACATGGCATTAGATGAAAAAAAAGTTTATCAAGACTGGGAAAAAAAATGGAAAAACTTGATTCTGCATGTAAAGGAGGGGACTGCTTGAGCTAAACGTCCCCGTCTAACTGAAATAATAGTTCGACCCAACTGTTCATGTCAAATACTGCTTACTGCTTTAACATTTACACAATATTCGTGTCATAAAAGCTATTTTACTTCATAATATTGTGCCAAAAGCGTATGAAAAAAAATGCAAGAGTGATATCTGAAATCTGGAGTTTGTATATTGTTTCGCTTAAGTTCTATTATACTGTATACATAGTCCTTTATGCAAACACTTCAAATAAATATTCTGTTTACACGGCAATATGACTAGGAAACCCAAACAACATTGATCATGATTTGCAATTACAAAGTAATATGATAACATTTAATCTAACATAAACAAATCCAATGCCTACTGTTTCATTAAACACAATAACAACATCATTCAAATGAGGCACAAAAGTAATCATTATTTTCCTCATGTGGTCATTAGCATAATTATTCAAGGAATGCATGATATTAAAATGTATTTACTTTCCATATGGTAGTATTAAACCATGTGACTATTAATGTTGAAATTACATAGGGCCCTCGATTTATGAGTCATACTTTTTTATGATTGAATTTGGAAAGAAAAAGCTCAACAACTGATTTGACCTGTGTTTTAAGTCAATGTAGTACACTTTTTTTCCCCTCCTTTGCCCATTTTAAGCGACACCAGACTAAAAGAAGGCTCTGGCTACACACACAACCTTTCCTTAGCACTTTGTGATGGAGAGGGTGGGCAGCAATGTCCATTATGCTCGTAATCTGCCCACAATTAGGCGTTGTCAGCCTATTTTGTTTGACCAAACTCAAAGTTGAAGACAGGGTTGTGTTTCATATATATATATATAGAGAGAGAGGTTTAGCATGAGCTATGGGCAGTTATATTTTATAACACATAGCTGTACAGCAACTTTTAATTTCCAGGCTTTTTGTCATGGAAACTGGGCCCTTAATGGAGATAAACGCTGTGAGAGTTAAATATCCAAGAGAATTGTCTTTTGTGCATTTATTCAAACAGAGACCTTGTCAGGGACTGCTCTTACACAATCGACACTTGATAATGAGGGGAAGGTAAAAGAAATAGTGAAAAAACTGAAGTGAATGCATCCTGGACAGAGGGGCGGCTTGTAAAGTGGCGTTCTCATTTTTAGGGGTTCAGGAGTCAAAAGGAGATAAAGCAAGGAACCAAGACCAGAAACAATCTGAGAGAAAATCACTTATCGTCATTCCTTTATTACTAAAACTCCTTCTTTCCCAAGTGATAAACTAAATGGGCGCTATAACGGGGTTTAGGTAAGACAATACGAATAAAACATTTAACTATTAAATTGATATTTACCACAACAATTTTTGCAGCTTTCTTAACGGAACAATTCCATCCAAGTCCATTATTTGTGACTAAATTAAAATACACTTTAATACTTGGTTTATGTGTTCAAGTCACCGATACACACACTTCTTACAGAGAGAATGTTAACACCATCTTCCTCAAAGATAGCAAAGACTGCAGTCATCTCAATATTTCAAATGTTATTAACTGTATTTAATTTCACCTGTGATTCAACATCCACAGCTATATGAGCCACGGAGAAAAAGATGGCCATCATCCACCGTGTTGCAGTTAAACAGCAGGCACCGCAGAATTAAGATATAGCCGAAGAAAACAGCGTATGGAAAAGCCAAGTCCAGTGACCATAGCAACATGTTGCTGCTGACACTTTTTGTTGGCAGACTGTATACTTTCCTATGGCTACGCTTTTCATCATCAAACCCAATCAGCCCCGGCCAACGTCAACCAGTACAACCACAAATAAGCAGTTCAGTTAGGGTTAGGGCTAGCAATGATTACTGACATTTCTAAACCTGCAGGAATCAAGATTATTTATTTTCTTTTTGCACGCAGAAAGCATAGAAAGCTTTTAAAAATTACGTACATTTTGTAATCAGCATGTGAACAAACATCTGTTTTTATTTGCTGGAATACACAAGTCACTCAAGCTTGTAACCTGTGTATAATGTAAACGTTGTAACGACATGCCAGCAATTGACTTTGGTTGGTGCGCAGGA